AGCTGAGAAGAAAACTTATGATTGGATAAAATATATTTTTAAATATTAATATCCATTTACGCTTATTGAAAATTGTCTAACGAATTAATTGTGTGTTATACCCCAACTAGTTACTTTCAAAAACAAAAAATCACAATTATAAACTATGAAGATTGAAACCTTCTACAAATGTTTTGATTGACATTATTGAAATTAAGTTTATTTGATATCATGATATCATTTAACAGTTACTGATATCATGGTTGATAGTCGTTGATTTTTTTTTGTAGGTATTTTTTAAATTATATACAAATTGCATATGACATTATTCAATAATCAAAGCTGGATATATATATAGAAGTATTAATGTTTTGAAACTAAATTGAACTATATGAAGAATACTCTCCTCCTAAATAAACTCTTAAGAAATTATCAGCGTTTGTTTCAAGTGTTCTTTAGAGAATACAATTAAAGTAAACATATTTTATATCGGAAAATTAATTTCTTCAGTTTGCGAGATACCAATTGTAATTCAATAAATACGTTTTAGTCTTTAAATCTAATTTTATATATTGGAAGACACAATTAATATAGGCTTATAATTTTATTTATTTATACGTATTAAAAATCAGTTACTGATGAAAGTCATTAAGAGGACGAAAACCTTTTTGTCATAAAGTTCAAAAGCAGCAGAAGGGGGTTTACATGAAATCTGATAAAATATAACATATGCATTGTTACTGTCACATAAAAATTCATTTATTTGATGTATAAGTATAATTTAGAATTCAACTTACATAAAACCTCATTCCACAAATATACACAAACATAAAAACTTACTCCAAAAATGTGCTGAAACTTACATAACAAATGACTCCAGAAATATTCACAAACGTACATAATGACTCCAAAAACATACTCAAACATAAAGAACTGACTTCAAGAATATACTCAAACGTAAACAAATGACTCTAAGAATATCCACAAACGTAAATAATGACTCCAAAATTATACTCAGACATAAAAAACAGACTCCAAGAATATACTCAAACGTAAAAAATGACATCAAAAATATACTCAGATTTACGCCATAACTAACTCCAAAAATGTACTCAGACGCAAAACAACGATTTCAAAACTATACTCAAACGTAAAAAATGACATCAAAAATATACTCAGATTTACGCCATAACTAACTCCAAAAATGTACTCAGACGCAAAACAACGATTTTAAAACTATACTCAAACGTAAAAAATGACATCAAAAATATACTCAGATTTACGCCATAACT